CACTTTGGAAATTTGCTTCAAACTCTCAGGGTAGCTATTTCTGAGGTAAATAATACGAACATTATCTTTTTTTAGTAATGTAAGTTTCCCCCTTGCCAAAGCTCAGTCACTGAAAAAATCAAGCAATTTTAATGGAGCTCAAATGTGGGAGGCAAACATCCAAAGGACCACATGGATCCTGCCCCACACGTTCCTTCAGAGCAAACAATTTACAATAATGTAAAACCAGGGCCATAAACTGGCAGTGCTTCTCTTCTGCTCTATTTGCCATATAAAATAATGCCAGCTCCAACTTGGACTTGGTAAATGTAGAAGTTTTGCCAAAATAGCTGTCAGAACGATGAAAAATCATTCCAGTGCAGCTAAAACCACACTGGCAAAGGCCCTAGTGTAGATGCCATTATATTGCCAGAGTCCTTCAGCCACTCTAGCATGTTCCATGCAGAATATGATTTAAGTTGCACCAGAAATCTGTGCTTGCCAATTCAGCTTTAAGGTGTAGCTATACCAGCCAACCCTTTTAAGTGTAGACAAGGCATATGTTTCTGGCTCTACTCTCATTCCTTTAAAGTTAGATTTATGGGTTTCGTTACAATTGTGAGCAAAACCCAAGAGGGATTTCAGTGCGTTTTACTCTTGCTGAGAGTTCACAGATGTATCTAAACTTTGAATTCTGAATCTGTTAATTTATGTGTTGCCAAAAAAGCAATGTATTATTTTGTGACGCTTAGTGCTATTGTCCTTCTCTTGTTAAATGCTAAAAAAGTACATTTTCCAGTATATTAAGTATGACCTCTACTTTCAATTATTTCAGAATAGGTAAGTCCTAGTCCAGTTAACCTGGGAGATTAAAAAAAAAAAAATAACATGTTCATTAAATGTTCTGTTATAGGGATGGTAAAGGGATCCTCATGCACTGGCTCACTCAGAGTTTGTATTCTGTGGAAGCACTGGCTTCCTCAGACATAAAGAACACAGTGTTAAAAAGCATCTACCAAGGGATATGGAAAAAGAATGCTCTGCAATAATGTAGGAGTAAGGCAAGGCTAAAATCGTAACACTGCAGTGCATAAAAGGTGGTTGTCATTGAAGTTACGTCCTCCATACCAATTTAAGATGAAATTACTCATTTTAGGAAGAATAACCTGAAAGTTTATGTCCAGATTTGGCAACTAGACACCAGATGAGCCAGCAGTGTGATGCCATGTTAAGGATGCCTTCCACTATTGAAAGACTGTGTTTGTGCTCTTGGTAGTTAAAAAATCAGAGGAGACTGCTGAAATAGTGTCAAACAATCTGCCTTGATTTATAGCCCATTTTGAGCAGTTCCCATTTTCCCAATCAGATAGATTACACAAACCCAGACAGACACAGTGTTCAACCATAGACTACAAAGCTGGTATCAGCTTGAAAAATTGGAAAATAAACCAATGTCATCTACGAACTGCAGTTTCCTGGCAGATTTTATTGGTATTTTATTATAGGCACAGCAAGGTCTTATTCTTGTTAAAGAATGTGGCTGTAATAGCCCTATTACAAAATACTCTTCAGCTTCTGTCCAGTACAGCTTCAGGCAACCTCATAGTCTGTGCTGCTTTTCCATCTCAGGCCCCAAACTATGTAACTAAACCTTATTTATTTTACTAAATCATTCATTAGAACTGTAGGTAGTGAGAGAAAAAAAAAAAAAAAACACAAAAAAACCCAAACACCAAAACCCAGAGGGAAGCAGAAATACCTAATATATTTATCCAAGTCCCTTTTTATCACATCACTAATATTTAGAAAGTATTATAATATTGCCTTTGATGCTTCTACAAGAACCTTTCCTCTCTTTTTCTTAAATAGAGCTGGATAAATACCCTTTCCATGTTTGAATTAGCAGAAAAAAACTCAGCTGTTTTGCATGAATATTCTGCACTTTTGGGGTGATGCTGTGATAAATGAATACCATACTTCTACCCTGGCACGGCACGAAACTTTGTACCATGCTATGATATAATATTTAATTGCATAGTGTTGTGTCATTTGAAAGTGGAATTTGTTTACCATACTTCATTATTACAAAACATGTCTCTCTTAACAAGAGTGTGATTTAAAGAAGTCATTCACTGTTTAATGAAAAATATCTCATGTTGGTGTTACTGACAGGGTTTTCAACATGAAAGAGACGTACCAGGCCCGTTTAACGCTGCCAAAGTCCTGTTATCACTTTACAATGCCTTTATAGTTCTAAAGGAGTATGAAGGAGCTTTAGAGTAAACACCAGTCTTGGCCTGCCTTTCATCTGTGGTGTGTCAGTGACACAGAGCTGTGTGCAAGCCAGTGGGTCATTAACTTGGGTTAAAAGTCACAAGCACTATTCTGTCTGGAGAATGACAGACTTTCTAAATGGGTCATGCTGGTCATTTTTCCTGATGAATTCATAGAGGGTTAAGTACATAATTACATGGACTACAAAATATTTTAAAATATTTGGTTCTGAGTTGTTAGGAACACTACATATACTCATTCCTATCAAGTATTTTGATATTTTCTGCTCATGTTGTGTCTGTCCCCTTTTCCTCTCACATATAATTATGGTGTACTTTGGCTAATACTTATAGTCATGTTCCCCATGTGATTTATCTATACCCAAAATGTAAACATAATGAAATTTGGGATAACAGGGTTTACAGCAGACGTGCCAATGCATGTTGTAGTAGCATAAAAGGCAGCTCTCCAAGTGGAGGGCTGCAGCAGCTGTGTGTAGATAGCCACCTTGAGGATCAGCTGAGGATGGCTGGGGTTACTGGGAGCTCTCCTGCAAAATAAAGAAATGTAAGGAATAAATCTTAGTATATATTCAGTATGATATATTCTTTAAAAATTAAATGAGACTTTGAAATGCAATTCTGCTTGTAAGTGACTAGTGAAATGATTAGTGTGAGCATTTGTTCCACAGTAGATGGAATCTCAGTGTTTCCTCAGGAGTTTCCAATAAACTCCTGCTGGTGTCTGTGTCTGTTCCATCTGGCACATACCCAGACCAATAAAACCCTGTGTCCTGCCTTCCCATCTTCCTAGCAAAAACCTTGGCAGTGACACATAGGGCTTCAGAAATTAGAAATGGGCACTCGAGTCTGATTTTAGGCTGCACTGGATCTGCTTACTGACTGTGTCTCTGGATTCTGGAGAGCTACAGGGAACAAGATTAACTAGAATAGCCTTTAGCTAACGTTGATCTGCATGTGTTACTAAATTACATAAAAAACATGTATTAAAGGGATGTTACAGATACTAAGAAACAAGGATGTTTATTTTTATGTCGATATTAGTGTAACCACTTTAGGTACAGGATTATATACTGCATTTTTCAAAGACGCTTCTTTGTAGGAAGTCCACTTCTTGCAATGCAGAACTTCAGATATATTTTTTTAAATGAAATTTAAAGCGTTGGTTTAAAATGCCATAGTATTAAAAAAAAAAAAAAAAAAAACCAACACAAAAAAACTAAAAAAAATAATTAACAAAATCTTCTCTGAAAATAAATATTACTTTCTGGCAATGTCTGTAAACACAACCGTCCCGCTGAGCAACTCCCTTCTGTCCCAGAGTTCATTCTCTCATTAATTTTTTAAGCAGAGCTCACTATATATAAACAACAGCAATGAGAAGTGGATGAAACAGCAGCATTCAGACAACAGTCACAATCAAAAGTAGGTCGGTTAAGAGGAGCTTCATTTGGCCTTTATTAAATGAAATATTCAGCAGCATTACTCACATTTCTTGAGTGCAAAGATATTTCAAAACTGGGCACTGGAGCCAGGCCAAGCTTGACATTCACGAACCCGTGAACGGGAGTGAAGCGGCCACTGCTTCCCCAGTGAGCTCGGAATTTCCCCGCGCCTGTAAAGGCTGTGCGGTGGGGAAACCGCATGGCTAAAATCCCTCCTGCCCTCTTCCCCAGCGCACACGGAAGGACAGTTCATTATTTCGGTCGGTAGTTCCGCGCCTGGCGGGGTTTGTGACCGCACCGGGCCCCGAGGAGCCCCTTTCCGGGGACGGCGAGTCCCGCTCACGGAGCTGGGCGCGGGTCCTTCCCAGGGAGGGGCAGCGGGGACGAGCCCTCGGGCAGCGGAGACCCGGGGCAGATGCAAGTCGGAGTCCAGAACCAGGTCCGAGTCCAGATCCAGGTCTGCCCCTGCGGGACGGGACGGGATGGGACGGGATGGGATGGGATGGGATGGGACGGGACGGGACGGGATGGGATGGGATGGGATGGGATGGGATGGGATGGGATGGGATAGGACGGGCGGAGCCGCCCCAACCCCTCGGGCGCCCGCCCTGTCCCGCCTTCGGGGGCACGCCCGTTCCACCCAATCAGCGCCGCTGTAGCCCCCGACGTCCCTCCTGCGCTCTCGTTCTGACCAATCAGCGCCCTCCCGCGGGAGTGCCCCGTCCCCTGCTCTGCCGCTCGTACAACCGCGACGGGCTGGAAACCCCCGAATCCCGCCGTGACTGACGCCGCTGTTCGCCAATAGCGCCTCGGAGCTGCGGCGCCGGCGCGCTGTGATTGGTTGAGAGCGGCGGAGGCGGGCCCGGCGGGGGAAGCAGGGGTGGTTGCGCGGCCGTGGCGGCGATGGGCGAGCGCGGCTCGGGCCGGGCCGGCGCGCCGGGGCCGGGGACAAGACCGGGCCGGTGCCGCGGGCGGGCGGCGCGCCCAGCCCGGGGCAGGCCGTGAGGAGGTGAGGGGCGAGCGCGGTCGCGGGGCCCTCAGGCAGGGCATGGCAGGGCAGGGGTGGGGCGGCTCCCCGGCCGAAGGCCGCGCTCCGTCCGTGCCCGTGACCCCGCGGCGCGGGGGGGGGGGTCGTGCCCACGGCGGGGCCGGGCCGGGGATGGCAGGGTGGGGGCTCCGCTGCGGGCGGGGCGGGGGAGCTGCACAGGGCCCGGCTGGGCCTTCCCGCGGCTCGGCGTGAATCCCCGGGCAGCGCAGACGTGTTAAAGGACTTTCCTGCCCTGTCCTGCGCGGAACCGCTCGGGGAGGGGAGAGGACGCTCGGAAGTGGGGTTAATAATCGTTCTACAAAGCTCGGCCTAGCGCTGTGGCTCGTACGGACGTGTCTTGCCTTGGAACTCTCCGTGAGGGAGCCAGTTTCAGGGTTTTTTCATGTGTACGTTGAGCTGGGACTAAATTTCCTTGCTCCGGGTTTTAAAGTTATTTTCGGACTGTCAGAGAACATAACTTTGCATCCCAGCTGTTTAAATTCTTTTTAGGTGTTAAAGTTCTCTTAAAATCTGTACAATTTGTTTTAGCCTCTTCGTTTTGTGCTCTGGATCAGAGCTACGGACGCGCGTTCATGCTGAAACCTGATAGCCAATTCAAACATCTCCATATAGTTCATCCGAGGCTCCCGCAGGGTAGGAACAGAGTTCTTCTATTTCAGAGCAAACTGTTTTTATGATGGGATGTCTCTGTAGTGACAACTCATGACAGAAGAATAAAAAAAGGAAGGAAGTTAGGGAAGCTTTGAAGTTAGATATTTTTTTATGGTCTACTTCTGACGATTTTTGAAGTGCTTTTTTTTTTCTGAAGTATGTAGTGTTGCAGTCATAACTGTGTTTTGCCTGATTCTCCCCAAAATCCTTTGAGCATGAAACCAATTCGGGTAGTAGGTGGAGTGGAAGAAGGTAGCAGAAGGTAGCAGAACAGGCTCTGACACTTAAAATGCCTGTGGTGGGCAACTACTCTTTGGTTTGCACAGTTTTGTAGCTGCTGGTGTGTTGTGCAGTGTAATGATGACTTGTTGGTAGGTGTGCTTTGTTTGGTTCCCAAATCAATTCATACGGAGCTCTAATAGTTTATTCTGGCCATAGTCTGATACACGTGGGCTGTTTGCTCAGCATGGGTTTCACTTTACTTGCAGAATAATTAATTCCATGGAAAATGGCTGGAAAAAAAAAATTAAATCCAGCTGTTTATGTAAATATGTTTTTGATATGTTACCAAAGCTTAACATCCTTTTAACAAGCTTTTCTGTGCTGCTAAAATACTAATTCATCACTATTATTATTCTAAAAGAAGAGGATTTGGTTTTTAGAGCTGTATTTTTTTGTTGGCAGGGGGCAGTGGTGGTAGATAAGTTTTTAAAGAAGGCATTTTTATGTAGGGATAATGAACTTTTTAATAAAGGAAAGCCTTTTGGCACTGTATCCAGTGGGTTTAATAACATCTTTGTGGATGAGAACTTTGAAAGACTGACCAAGCACCATATAAAGTTACTGTGATATAATCTAAATGCAGCTGTTAACATGTTTTCACACAGAATTCTTTGCTACTAAACATGTGAAGATTGTATGATGTTGCAGCAATGGACCTGCAAGCAGGGTATACTTATTAAAAATAGATATGATAAATAATATTCTAAAATTAACATTTTAAGCTCTTGAACAGACTTCTCTTTTAGTATATTATTTCCATGCATACTTACTAAAATTAAAATGAATCATTTCTATAAATAAAATAGGAAAGGTCAGGTTTCCTGTAATGTCAGGGATACTTTTTTGCAGTATATGGAGGTTCAGTAAGTTTGTGGAAAGGGTCACAAAAAAAGAAAGTGAAGTGCATCAGCTTTTGAAAGCTGAGAACATAAAATGAGCTGTGAAGAACAAGACAGGGTCTATTTTTTCCCCCACTGTCTGGAAGAAGTAAGGGGAGAGAATTAGACAGAACTTGGATGAAACTATTTTAACATCTGAGTAGACTTACAAAAATTAATGGTCATTTAATTGTGTTTCCATGGGGTGGGTGAAATCCTATTGTGCTGTTTATCTGTTTCTATACAAAGCACTGCTATTTCATTCAATACTGACACCACTTTTTTGTTAATCACTGACAAACATTAAAGCCCATTTATGTGTATTGAATGAAAATGAAGAAAAATATTTTTTAACTTGAAAATACATTTACAGTCTACCAGCGTTTTCTTCGGTGAGGTCTGAAACTGTCCAGATTCTGTCCCTCAGATGTTAATGACTTTGCAGATGGAAGCACATTAAACCCTGTAATTCCTGTGAGCTGCTGCAGCAGCAGTGCCTCAGTGTGATGCTCTGACACCCACATGCCACATCTGTGCAGAGGAGGAGCAGGCTGGAATGGCTGGATGGCACAAGAGCCTCACCAAGGCGTCACAAAAATGTGTGAATTTCTGGGACTGAAAGATGAGACTGCATAAATTTCTGGTTGTCTGTGGTTGTTACTACTTTTCTCTGGTGGAAAGACTTTTCTTAAATATTCTTTCTGTTTAAAAAAAGATGATGAAAATAGCTACAGTACTACTGGATTCCATTGCTTTCCAATAGCTTCTGAAACTGGGATCAAACTGAGTGGGAGAAATAGCAGTAAGTTTTGTGGTATTTGAATGCCATCGTAGAAAAGTTGGGGAGGAATAGGGTACCTAGGCACAAGGAAAAGACGTTATTTGCTTTTACTTTATTGAAGTTAAATCCACAAATTATCATTGAGATTTTCCTTTCACCAAATGCAAACTGGCATCACAGATTGCAAACAGGAAAATTAAAAACATTTTATTTTTAATTTGTACGCTGCCATTTCCTGCCATCTTTGAAGAATAAATCCTGCTGAGGTACTGTGGGTCTTTCTTCATGTATCCAGTATGATTGAAACTGTAGCCATATGTGTGTATGTATTTTACTTTTGTACCTGCTGCCATTCTCAATCAGGTATTTTCAGACTGTTCTTTTTTAGTTTATTGGTTGTGGACTATAAATTTTAGGGTAATGTTTAACTAAGGTGTTTATTTCTAGGGTATTTTACTACCTGAAAGTGACGTATTTCTTATTTTTTTCTCAGAATTGCATGTTGCAACGTAGGTGCAATTTGGTTTTCATACATTGTCTATTACTTACTGGAACTGGCCATTTCTTTATTTAAAGAAATGGCTGTTATAAGTTACTGAAGTTTCCATTTTCTGCTGCTCTATTTCGTCAACACAATTTTCTGCTTCACTAAATCAAAATGTTATGCAGGATGACAGATGCAGTGCGCTTTGCTAGAAATAAGTAGTCACTAAGCATGGGAAAAGATCTTTTTAGTGGAAAGCTTCCATAAAATATTGTTTGTAAATTTGAGAAGGATGTTTATTCCTGTTCATGTGAACTTAAGTTTTCTTTTTCTTTCCCTTACGTGTGTTTTATGTGTTTTCTGCATTTCATTGCACTTTTTCCACAACTCCTTTCTTCAAGGAACTAGACAAGGAAAGGAAATAGGCAGTAAGTAGTAGAAATGGGTAAATGGGTATGTCCATGATCAGCAATATTGTGGCTGTTCTGGGACTATGGTCACTGTCTTGGATTTTGCTGAATTACTCTGTAGGAGGAGTGGGTCTGGTCACAGATTTAAATCATATTTTACTTAAGACTAGCTATGCTCCCCCAATTTAATTTTCTCTTTTTCTTATCTCTTTTTTTTTATTCTAGGCTTCCTGCTCTGAACTCGGTTCCTTGCAAAATGAATATTGTGTTGTTTGACAAAGATTGGACCTTCCAGTAGAATTTGGAAAGACCACTGCCTGTAAATCCAGAACTTATTTTTCTTGGAGACTTCTGTGCAGCTTTTTAAGGTTTTAATCACAATGAATTCGGGTTTATGGAGTCAAGAAAAAGCAAGTTCATCCTACTGGGAGGAGCGGATCTTCTACTTGCTCCTCCAGGAATGCAGCGTCATAGACAAGCAGACCCAAAAGCTCTTGAAGGTGCCCAAAGGTAGCATCGGGCAGTTTTTCCAAGACCGTTCTTCTGTGGGACACTCCAGAAATATTCCTTGTAAAGGCAAGAAACTGCAGATTGGATTAAAGATTCTGGAACAACCTCACGCAATCCTGTTTGTGGATGAGAAGGATGTTATAGAAATAAATGAAAAACTCGCCGAGTTGCTTTTAGCTATTACTAACTGTGAGGAAAGATACAGTCTGTTTAAAAGCAAAAGCAGGTTAGCTAAAGGCATCCTAATAGATATTGGCTCCCCTGTCAGAGTACAGCTGAGGTCAGGAGATGACAAATTTCCTGGAGTTGTTCGCTTCAGAGGACCTTTAATGCAAGAAAGGTCCCTCACAGGGATATACTTTGGAGTAGAGTTGCTGGTAAGTCTTTTGCCAAGGGGTAGCATCATATTTATACTTTATAAGACAAGCTAAAGTCTTCGATGTGAAGAGGAAGTAATAATAATGTATTTTCTAGAAGAATAGTTACCCCTGAAAATTGTTACCTTCAGTCTTTTCATAAATATTGTTTATTAAGTGCCCATGAACACGCCATATCACATCAGCCTTGTATTGTACATGTTAAATGAAGCTTGATGAGGTGCCTGGGCTGGCAGAAAGACTTGAATGTACTCTGACTCCTTCTAGCCTAGAAAAATTTATTTCATAGAAACACAGAATGATTTTTGTTGGAAGAGACCTTAAAGATCATCTTGTTCGAACCCCTGCCACGGGCAAGGACACCCTCCATTAGACCATGCTGCTCAGAGCCATCCAGTGTGGCCTTGAACACTTTCAGGGAGGGACCATCTACAACTTCTCTGGACAGAATTATTTATATTCCTGTTGTGGTGCATATGTGACCATATCAGGATATGGTCCATAAATGCAGGCTTGGATTTTAGGGCTGCTGTTTTTCTGGATCCCTAAAAGTCAAATGGCAAGTAGTTAAGATAGAGAATGTAGCTATTGTGTGCAAAATTAATGCCAGCCACAAACTTTTGAAGGGTTAGGTTTAGGAGAGTGCTGCTCTTGTATTAGAAGTATATTTTTCAAAGTACTCTTTAAACTTTTCCCAAACTTTGCAATTCCCACTGAGAACCTCAGGGAATATCAGGCCTAAGTACTTCTGAAAATCATCTCTTTATTTGGCATATAAGTGGAATTTTTGAATGCTTAGTATTATGTCTAGTATGAAGTAGTCTTGTCTTGATATGGCAAAAATTTGATGATGGAAGCAAGATTTGCACCTGAAGAAAACATGTAAAGCCAAGTAAAAAGGCTTCTGCCTGCAGCTACTCTCTAATCTAATGACATCTCGCTCTTTATTCCCCTAAGATAGACAGTGTTTGTATTTGTCACAAATTCTGACAATAGAATTCTCGCAATATAAAGACAGTTCACCAGGCAAATTCTTAGTAAGATTTGTCCAAAACACTGGATTATGTTACTGCTTTTTTAGAAGTCTGCTTTTGCACAAAATACACTTGTTTTTTTCTCTTTTCTTTCCCCCCCCACCTCTTCCTCCTCCGACACCCAGGAAGAAGGTCGCGGTCAGGGCTTTACTGATGGGCAGTACCAAGGCAAGCAGCTTTTCAGATGCGATGAGGACTGTGGGGTTTTTGTTGCTTTGGACAAACTGGAGCTGGTGGAAGATGATGACAATGAACTGGAAAGTGACTATGCAGCTCCAGTTGACGCAATGCAGGTAGAACTTCCTCCTCTGGAGATCAACTCCAGGGTTTCTCTGAAGATAGGAGAGAGTATAGAGTATGGGACAGTTATATTCTGTGATGTCTTACCAGGAAACGAAAGTTTAGGATACGTTGTTGGAGTGGACATGGTAAGAAAATAATCTGACTTTAATAACTTCTGCATGTGTGTTAGCTAGTAAATGACATGCAATTAGAAGAAGAAACATTATCCCACAAGCTACTTCAGTGGAGGCTGGCCTAAAATGGGAAATAAACACTTGTGTTCAAAGATGCCCCTTGGTGGTAATTGTTTCTTGGCATCAGGTAAATGATATCCTATTTGATGCTAAAGAGTTCAGGAGAAATACTCTGGTTATTCTGAGGAGCCTCCACTGAGCTACTTGCCATGTTAGGTGTCAGTCTTGAAGTCATAGAGCTGAGTGTTTGTCTTGTGAGACTGGCTTTGTTCTGCCTGTTAAAAAAGTATGCTGGATGTATTTTTCTTTTGTTAGCTGTTTTTAAAAGCTTTTTTTCATGTTACTTTTTTTTTTTTTTGCTTGACTTTGTTCTACCTTAAAAGTATTGAGTTTCAAGTACAAAGCTTGATTTTTCAAGAAAATGTGAAGCTTGTAATTAAAATTTATTTCTAGCAACTTGAAGCTTTTTAAAATGGACAGCTTTCAAATTTTTGGTAGTTCAAGATTATGTTTTGGTTTTGTAGAACAGATGCTTCCATTTTCTTGGTTGCAGTAGCTGTTCCCTAACCATGCACTGAAGTTGTTCTAATTTGTTTATCCATAATAGTTTTTAGTAGAGGAATGCTTTTTAAAGTAGGAAATATTTCTCAAAAGAGCAGGTTTTAAATTTGCTTTTGTGTTTAAAGACTGTAATGTTTGAGTGTTCTAAATATAAGATTTGTTACAGGGAAAAGTAGACATTGTCAAACCTTTCATTTTCCTACTTTTTATATTCCTAAAGACATATGTGTGCATTCTGCATGATGTAAATCTTCTCTTGGGATACGTGTAACATGTTTTTCTATTTTTAGGATAATCCGATTGGAAACTGGGATGGAAGATATAATGGAATACAGCTGTGCAGTTTTGCAAGTGTTGAAAGTACACTTCTTTTGCATATCAATGATGTTATTCCAGGTATGCCCAGCTTTCTTATCCAGAAGGTAGACTTTGATAATATCTCCACCTAGGCACAGTTATATGATTAAAGCAATACTGCAAAGTTAGTTTCCTAAATTCACTTGAATTAGTTTAACCTTCAGTGTTATAATTCTCTTCAGTATTCCCCTCCTTTGCATTATGGTCTCACTAATAGAAAGGCTTTAATATTGAACAAAATTCCTGTCAAATACTATAGTGTTTACAATACTGTGGAGTTGCGTAATATTAGTGAATATGTGAGTGTCTGTAGCAGGAATCTTTTGTATAGACTGTTGTTAAATTTGCTCCAGGGGTTTAAATACTTTGGATCAGAAAGCTGTTCTTACTGTGCTGGAAAGGTATTAATAGTATTATGTGTGTAGTCTATGGGTAAATACTTTAAAATGCATAGCAAGACTGTGGAAAAATTCACGGCAGTAATTCATGGGATAGTGTTAACTTGTAACAACTACAGTCCCCTCATCCCTTGTCGGAAGAAAGCAAAGTTTATAAGTAACTTTTGCTTGGGCTCTGTCTGTAGACAGCTGCTAATGAGTGTGTAGTCTGTAACTGTTGCCCTTTCTCTTCAATTTGATCTATGTTCATCTCCTGGTAGCTGGTTTAGTTGTGTGATTTTTGCATGAATTTTCCTCTCTTCTCTGGAGAATTTATAGGGACTCCATTTTTGGGAGAAGAGCATTTGTTGTAAGTGTGTTGGCAGAAAATAAAGTTTAGAATTTCATGGGTCTGTTTCCTGTAGTGGGAATATGCACATACATTGAGGTGTTCATGAAGTAATGGCAGACTTCAGAACAAAGTAATTGCTGATGTGATAGAGGCAAATCCTGTACACATAAAATGTTGGTTATGTTCCAAGCAAGGTTTTACTCCACTCAGTTTTAAAGCTTACGATGACAGACCTTTGTTCAGTTACCTTTGGAGTTGAGCTTCTCTGTAACACAGTAAAAATGTAGCAAAGATAAGCTAATACTCTCTTCATATATCATGTCTCAGAGACTGTGTCACAGGACAGGAGACCTCCCAAGCTTGCCTATACCTCAAGAGGTGACAAAAGTGTGTTCAATCACAGTAAGCCAAAGGCTACAGGTATGTGTGGGAGGGGATTTTCTTTACTTACATAAGAATTGCAAATTCTTATCGCTTGGGGAAGAGTAATGTCTTTTCTGGCATTGGATGCTGACAGAGATGATCTTCACTAAAGTAACTGTGCTTATATTGGCAGGAGTTACAGCTGTGTGCCATTGGATCAGTAATCTATTTGCCTACTGTGAAATTTTAGCGCTTTAAAAACAAAAAATTACCTGCTGTACTACCTGCTGTACACTGTATCACAAATATTTTCTTATATCCATAATTTACAGTCATGAAAAATTTGCACTTGGGAGGTATTTTTTGCCTTCTTTGCAGGTTGGGGACTTGAAATTTCAGCTTGGAGGATTATGTTGCTTTGGTGTAGATTTGTAAGCTTAGAACTGTGTTAGGCTTGATGGGAGAGTTTTTTGCTTTGTGCAAAGGCAGTTGGGTCTTTCTGAAAGTGTAATAATGAATTTATGCTATGAAATAAAGAGTGTAGGTAACCTTTCCTAAGTAGAGAAGAATCTCTTCATTAAAGTATGTTATTTTCCAGGATCTACCTCTGAACCTGGAAATAGAAGCAGATCTGAAGTCTTCTACACATTAAATGGCTCATCAGTTGACTCTCAGCCTCAAACAAAAACAAAACCCCCATGGTATATTGATGAAGGTAAAGAGAGATGCCTTCATGTAGGCATATACTTTCTTTAAAAAAAAACACAACACAGAACAAAACTAGAGTGTATTATGTTCTTCAAATAAAACAAATCTGAGATTAAATGTAAAACAGTTGGACTGTATTGTCTTAGTGGAAGACATACTGTATCATAAAAAGCATCTTGAAAACCCTATGAAAGTGTTCTCTGTCTTAATGTGACCTGTGGTTTTATTCTGCATGTAGAAGATTACATTCTTGGCAATGTATGTGCAGCTCTGTGGCAATGCATATGTCTTGCAGGCAAAATAAAAGCTGAGGCTTGATGGAAGACATGAAGATATTCCTTATAGCCAAATATACAGACTAATTGTATTTTGCCTGTCTTTGTAGCTAATGTTACAGATCTAAGGGAGCTATTCTGCCATGCCAGCTAATCAGTCTGGAAGTTTTTAAAAGTTATTCCTGTAAAATCTCTTTATGAGTTTTTAGAAGTATGAGTGCACATGCCTAAAAGATCAGTATCTTGATTTGCTTCCAGACCTTTTTTTTTTTCTTTTTTTGCTCATAAACTTTAGAAAAGTGTAGCTGGCTAGCATAGTGACTGAAGGGGTAAAGACTAAACTAGCAATGTTAATTTACAATGGAAACTATTGCAGCAGTAGCCCCTGAATTCCATGAACCTTGAAAGTGTCTCCTCAGTTAGTTCTGTTTCTCCAGTGTTACCAAGTGACAAATGTCTTCCTAAATGTCCCTCCCCAGCTTTTAGTGCTTCCTGTACAGTCACCTGTTAAATCAGATGGGGTTGCACTTCATTGGTTTGGGAGCCAAGTCTTTCCTTTTTTATGATGGGGGGAAAAACCCCCAGCACTTACTAACATCTTGGTTTTGATTTTAACAGCTACTGAAGACCCTGCAAAATCACTTACTGATTCATCTCCTGGATTTGGGCATTCTTCACCACCACTGCAGCCACCTTTAACAAACTCTGTGTCTACAGAAAACAGATTTCACTCCCTCCCTTTTAGCTTGACAAAAGCAACAAGTACAAATGGTACTATGGGACACAGTCCTCTCTCTTTATCTGTCCAGTCAGTCATGGGTGATGTGAATACTTCAGCTAACCAGGACAGTCCATCAGCAGCAAGCCCAGTTGGGAACTCACATGGTCTTGAAGCAGGTTCCTTGGCTGAAGTTAAAGAAAATCCTCCTTTCTATGGAGTAATCCGCTGGATTGGCCAGCCCCCTGGAGTAAATGAAGTATTGGCTGGACTGGAACTGGTAAATATAAATTGTAGTTCATATTAGTGTCAATTACTAGTTTTGTTTCTCAGAGCAAAAAAGCAAAAGCAGCCAATCTGGGGAGATTTGCCCAAACAGGTTTCCATGTGATGTCCTTAGAGCTAAATTCTTCCATGAGCTCTGACTTTTGTGGCTGTCCCAGACCTTGCCCTGTTAAGAGGCTCTGAGATGTGTTTGTGTTACAGTGGGTAATGGAATTTGTGGGACTGATCACTTCCTTGCTTTAAAGGAGTGTCCTTTGCTTACATTATTGAGATTGTAATTCAGAAAAGCTGACCATATTTAAAGGTCTTTTGAAATGTAAATTTGTATAAAATGCCCTGACTGTAGTAGTCTTTATTATCACTTTTTTGTTTGTTTTTTTTGTATACCAGTAAACAGGCAGAGTTATGACTGTCAGAGCCATAACACTGGTTTTGATAATTGGTAGTAATGGTTAATTTGACAGCCATGTGCCTTGTGTGTTTCTCTGGGCCCTTTGGAAAAGCTCAGTTGCTGCAAACATGAATTGCTGTTCTGCACTGACATTTCTTTGTGGCAGCTGCTGCCAAGGTTATGGTTGACTGTCAGTTAAATTAATGTGTACTCAATTAAGAAGATGGGATTCTTTTTTTTGGGATAATGTTCAATAAAATTTCACATAGCACTGTACCATTACATAAAACACAGGCAAAGTAGATTAGAATGTGACTGGAATTCCAACTGTTACAAAAAATCCTTATCCTTATGGGTGTTTTGGATGAAGTTGGAAGCCATAGTTTGCCACAGGTGTTCTGCACCTTAGGGTGTGTTAACCTGTGTGCCACTCATGCATTTCTGCATTAAAGCCTAGCAGTAGACAATAGACCTTAAATCATGTTCTCAAAGATAATAACTTGTTATTGTTCATACCTGGTTTGTGTTGTCTGTCCTTGATGTACATTTTGTGTGTTCCAAAGCAGGCATTTTTTTTGTGCAGCACAGTCACACAAGTATTCATGCTACCCAATGCTTAGTGATTTTAACTGAGTTGTAAAAGGTGCTCAGTACTGCATGTGGGCTCTTTCTAACTACAGAAGGAACCTGGACTGGGTCTCCCCTCCCACCTCCCCAAGTTGCTTCCGATAAAAGTTTAAACATGAAAAAAACCCCAGCCCTGCAGCTCCTAATTTCCTCAGCAAATCCAGTTAAATACCTCAGTCAAAGCTTTGTATACTAAAATGCAGAAACACTGTATATCACGTTTCAGAGTACCTGAGGGGTGACTTGTGGGTAGATATTTTATCAAATGTCTTACTGCAGAATTCTAGAAATAAGAAAAGTAGTGAATTCTCACTTGAATTTTCAGGAAGATGAATGTGCAGGCTGCACGGACGGAACATTTAAAGGAACTAGATACTTCACTTGTGCTCCAAAGAAAGCTCTTTTTGTTAAACTCAAAAGCTGCAGGCCGGATTCCAGGTTTGCCTCACTGCAGCCTGTTTCCAACCAGATTGAACGCTGCAACTCTCTAGGTACTGACCTTCTGCTTATTTCTTGTTTATCAACTGGGAACTGACCAGGGTTTTGGTTTCATTTATTCTTGCAGTAAGTTCTTTGTGTTGAACATTTGAGAATCCGTACAGGTGTTACTTAAATGAGATTAATGAATAGAAGATCAGCCTGTACAAAATACAGCAATTCTGTGAATTACTCTTTGGTACTTTAAAACAAGAAAATGTGCATATATTTGAAGAAATTTCATAAAAGGGCTTTTTTATGCTGTACGTTTTTTACTTTAGAAGTTGAAAAGCAGTCTTGCTGAAAATGGTATTTGCAACTCCAGCAATGTGTGATTGCATTGTCAGAAGTAAAGGCAACTATTTTTCTATATAGCATAAAATTATATTTTCTAAATATTAACATAAAAAAGCATGTATTTTTATGGCAGAAGTTAGTGGTGAAAAACTTCTTTCCTAACTTCAAATATTTTAGGTTTCTTGGGTCATGCTGGGGACTCAGCAAAGAAAAGTGTCTGATACTTGTAAGATAGTGTGAACAGGGCATTTGTAATGAAAAGAGAACTTCATTCCTACTGGATAAAATTAATTCAGTGCTGCAGGCTTTCCGAAGCACTCTAATGTGCATTGCCAGTGGAATGTAAGGCCTCGTTCACTCTCTGGAACACTGAGTTTCAGCTATAATAAAATGCTATTTTAGTCCAGAGAAGGAATGCTTACACTAAGGCAGCAACTTAGCTATAAAACATTAATAGGGAAATCTCAAGGGGGAATAAAATTTGAGGCTTTAAAGTGTCTTTTGAAAAAAAAAATTTCAGCCTTTGGAGGTTACTTAAGTGAAGTGGTAGAAGAAAACACTCCTCCAAAAATGGAAAAAGAAGGTTTTGAGACAATGATTGGAAAGAAGAAAGGTATCCAGGGTCATTACAACTCCTGTTACTTAGACTCCACCTTATTCTGGTAAGTTCATAATTTGTGTAGTGGCATCCCATGCTAGAAATGCAGAACATGTGTTTGGATGACTGTCTGTGTGTTACTGTGCAGCTCCCATGTCACGGCTGCAGCCTGACATGTTACTGTGCTCTTCCAGTGGAGCAAGTTCTGCAGCATTTACTGTGCTAATGTTGTTCCAGCTGCTCTGACCTTTCTGTATCTGCCCAGTTTGACTGAGGGAGTCCCTGCCCTGTAAATGGTTGAAGGATGAAAGACAAGCACAGGCTGGGGGTGGAAGGGAGGGAAATACCCCATATAGCTTATTTGTAGAATCCTGCCTGGGCAACTGGTTCTGTACTTCGCTGCAGAAAGCATAATGGTTAGAGTGGGTTTTTGCTGTTTAATACAGCTGTGTTGTCCCCTGTCCATAATTACTGCTTTTGAAATTTTAGTTCTTTAATTTTTATGTGGCTTTGCTTGCTTTGTCTTACATTGCTCAGACATCTGAACAGTCATATCTTTCAGGGTAAAAACAACCTTCCTTTTCCTTTTTTCTCTGTAGCCTCTTTTCTTTTAGCTCTGTTCTGGACACTGTGTTACTCAGACCTAAAGAAATGAATGATGTAGAGTATTATAGTGAGACTCAAGAGCTGTTGCGGACAGAAATTGTGAATCCTCTGAGAATGTAAGTAAAGACATGGACTGATCTCTAATCTGATATAAATTAGAGAGATCCTACTGTGCATGCATTCCTATTGCAGATCTGAGAAGTCTGGCTGCCTGCTGGTGACACTCTATTCGATTTATTTTTTAGTATTTTTACTTGTTCTTCATGGTAAATTTAATCAGGGCTAACTAGAAATAGTTATTCATTGCTTGGTGATAATTTCACTAGTCTCTTATTTGGAAATAGGATCAGCATAAAGCTATTAAAAAATTTATACAAGTATGAATAAAAAAGCATTGATAAAAGTTAAGTTCATTCACAACATTCTTTTTTACGTGTTTTAATGCTGTTGTACTTGACAAGAAAAGTATGTGGGTTATCTTGCATGGTGTTTCACCATTTCATGGAATTGGGAGGGCTTTAAAATATCATTGCTTTTTACATGTGGTCTGCAAGTGGTCAAAACATTTTTTTAGAGGAACTTCATATGTATTTTGTAATTTCTTAGGCACAATGAGCAAAGGACATGCAACAAAAATCTGCATTAAAAGATACTTTTCTTAAGCTTAATTTTTTCTAAACATGTGAACAATACAGTTCTGAAATTCTGTGGGCTGTGGGCTTTATCACAAAGGTTTTATTTTGATTCCTGAAATAAAATGTTGGCCTCTGAACCTTTGTGTGTAAGAGTGTGGGTACTTTTCCTGGTGCATTCCAGGGTTCTGTGCTAGGGGTAGGATAGGAGGATACACACTAAGTAGCAGAAATCTCAGGTGGCTGAGAAGACTGAAAGAAAGGTCTTATTACCTTTCTACCATGCTTAAAACTTCAGAGGAAAAGACTGAATGCTCAAAATCTCAGCTTCTTAGGTCAGCAGTACAGCTCCGTATCTTTTTCTCAAATATTGAAATTTGTTTTTATTAACAAATCCCACAGTGCTGTTATTATGTGACATTTTGAAAATGATATATTAAATGGTGCAAATTAGAGTGAAAACAAATCAAAAGTAATTGACTGACAAATCAGAAAACAGTTATCCTGGTAAGATGATGATTAAAGATGCTCTTAAAGGCTATAAAAGAACATTGAGCACTGCACTAAATTTATCCTGCATTAAGAAATATGGAAGTCAGATTGAATATGAGAAGTCAGCACACAGTTTTGAAGAAATACTGTATGCAATTAAAGAAGGATTCGTGAACCTGTATTTCAGCATTTAAGATGATGGGGTTTTTTGTACTTCTTCGATTTAATCACAAATGAGCTAATAGCTTATTACACCCATTTATTCTAGATATGGATATGTATGTGCTACAAAAATAATGAAACTGAGGAAAATACTTGAAAAAGTGGAGGCTGCCTCAGGATTCACTTCAGAGGAAAAAGGTAACTGGGGAGGTTTTCCTTTCTTTGAGACTTGTAAGAATCCTAATATGAAAGAACTGAAATACCTTACTGTGTAATTATATCAGAACAAAACACCCAAATAGTTTCTTGTAGTAGCAGGATCTCTACCAGAAATTTGAGTGACCATTGGCTGGTAGAAAGGTCTTTTCTGCTTCCTTGAGAATGTAAGGAACCCTGACTGAACAATTTCTGTAAAAGTCTTTCACTGCCAGGATTTCTTTTATTGCCTTCCTGTGCCCCTGTAACACCCTTCTAGCAGTTAGGGGAGAAGACTGTGATAAGGCTGGGGTCTTTGTTCTCTTCCAAAATGTCCCTTTGGTCTCTGAGGAATAAACTTTTTCACTACCAACATTTCATTGTTACAATGGTTATTTTTTATTTTAAAAACATCAGTTCTCAACTTTTTGATCTGCTGCATATAATGATTAATTTGCATTATATTACATAGCTGTTTCTGCTACTTTCTCTGTAAATACTGAACACTGGAAACCAGTATTTATTGCAGTTAATACACCAGCAAACTGTGCTGGGGAGAATGACCCTCTGGGAAGCTACTGTTGGCTACATTCTTGATGAGAGAACTCGGTCTCTAGTTTAGATGAACTCTGAAGTATGGAGTGAGTTTTATGTGTTACTTTCACTGCTCCTCACTGCTCCTCTGCAGATTCACTGTTTTCTTTTGAAAGCTTTTATTTCTTCTAGAAAAGTTGTGTGGTGCCAAATGATTCCTCTGAAAGACAGAGCATCTTTTTGATCTTTACTGGGAAGCTTTTGTTGCCCTGTTGAGCCTGTACCTTTTATTAGAGCCTTTTGACACCAAAAGAATAAACAGAAGGTTACCATGAAAATGTTCACGGTTTTTCATAATCTTACTGTGTTAAGAAAGCTATAAAAATTAACTGTTTTTTTTTTAACTGTTTTTTTTCCTATGAAAATTTTGAAAACTTTCATTATAAATGAGTCTTGAATAATGCAGCTGTTTTTGCATGCTAACAAAACTTTTTTTTTCCTCTCCCCCTCCAGATCCAGAAGAATTTTTGAATATTTTATTTCACCATATTCTAAGAGTTGAGCCACTGTTGAAAATAAGGTGAATCTTTTTTCTTTGCTAAATTCAAACATTTGAGAGGCTGATGCAGAGAAAGTATCTGCTGCCTTTCAAACTGAGACAACTCCTAAAACACCATTGACTTGTGATTGGAATTGCTAATAGGATTCAATGTAGTAAAGTTATGTTGACAAATTTGATACTATTTCCTACCTTTTTTGGTAAGTAGGTTATGCCATACTGGTGTCGTTGCACAAGCTCATGAGCATAATTTCATGAGAGCTGGACAGAGATCCTGTGTCCTAGTGCTGTCTGCTTGAGATCCTCACTGCCTTTCTGTTAATTATGCTGGAGAAGGGCTGCTGTAAGAGGGCCTGCAGCAATTCTTAATGTGGCCTGCAGCTTACAGCTCCTTTTTTCTGGGACAAGCTGCACAGATTGCTGAGTCGGTGTGTGAGCTGTAGAAACTGATTTGCATTTCTTCTGTTAGGCTAATGAAAATATTTCAATTGTTTGCCTTGATCAAGTTTGGTTCTCTTACTTTATCAAAATAACAGATGCTGGCATTTATGCATGGATTCATTCTCAGCTGTAGCACTACAAGGGTTCAGCTGTTATAGCTGAGTTTAAGTGAGGTGGGGACTGTTGCCCAGTGCTGTCATCCTCTTAGCTGGCACCTGATATTCCCAGGTTTCTTGCTGCATTCTGTGGCAGCAGCATTGTTACAAAGCGTTTTCTGTAGTTTTTCAGTCCTTTCCTCGTTTCAGGAATTCTGTTACTGTGCTGAGTGAGGTGTTATCTGTGCCCACTGTCGTGCTCTGCAGAGATGAGAGCTCTGACACTGTCACTGAATCTCACACTGCTTTGGTTTCTTTAAGTTTTCCTAAAATCAGTCCACACTTACTACTTGACTTCTGTCATCTGAGGCACTTTGTTGTTGGGGGGATTGTGTTTTGTTTGGGTTTGCTTTTTTTTTCCTAAAGCACGATATATTTCAAAGCAGAGAGGACGTTTTATAAACTATTTTTTCTATGTTATTTTCCTAGTAAAGTACAGTGCTTACAGTAGACCTTCAGAATCTGTTTTCTTTTTTTTTTTTTTTTTTAATCTGTTTTTAGATCAGCAGGTCAGAAAGTACAAGACTGTTACTTCTATCAAATTTTTATGGACAAAAATGAGAAAGTTGGAGTCCCAACAATTCAGCAGTTACTCGAGTGGTCATTCATCAACAGCAACTTGAAGTTTGCAGAGGTTGGTGACAGCTGTGATGATACCTAAATATTTGCCCATTCAGCAGTGGGACAAAAGTAGGATTTGGTGTAAAAACACGTGGACATGTTGGAAATGGGAATACTATGCCAGTTGTCCAGGATGCCTACATAACAAAAATATTTTAAGGCTGACTTAATGACATGTCTCCTTTGGCTGAATAGACCAAAGGGATTTAGGCAAAGAATTACTAAAAGCAACCTTCTTAGTTACTGGCAGTAGGTTGTTTTAAGGACTAATACTTTGAGATATCTCTGACAATGGACTGCAAGTTTAAATAACATGAATACGTTTATAACAGTAGAAGTATGTCTCTAAATTTAGATAAATAATTATCTCAAGCTCATTACATTATATTTTGGCATTTTACCTAGGCACCCTCTTGCCTGATTATCCAGATGCCTCGGTTTGGAAAAGACTTCAAAATGTTCAATAAAATTTTTCCATCCTTGGAATTAAATATAACAGACTTACTTGAAGATAGTAAGTATATAAAATTGCATTGTGTAATGAGAGTTGCTGAGAGTGGCTAAAACAGTGAAAGTAACTACTCCTGGTAGTTTTGGTGGTTTGCTTTGTTGTGGTTTCTTTTTCTAATAAATATTTACCAATATTTTTTAAATGTATTGTTCTTCTCTGTTTAAAGTAATATTTCCCCTTTCTTTTCATACTTCTTGTCTGAAAAAAACCCCCAAATAGAATACAAAAAGCCTCCCCAAATTGGAGACTTAATATCTTTTTTTAAAAATGCAGCTCCCAGGCAGTGCCGTATATGTGGAGGGCTCGCCATGTATGAGTGCAGAGAATGTTATGAAGACACTGATATTTCTGCTGGGAAAATCAAGCAGTTCTGCAAAACATGCAATACACAAGTAAGTGGTTATGTTTGTTATTCTGTGTAGGTTTAACCCGAGTGGTTTATGCTGTAATAGTTGAAAGGAAGGGGTAAGTGAGATTTCTTCATCAGCACTACTGTCACTGCCACCCACCCAGTAAAGTGTCTCCTTTGGTGACAAATCAGGAACTCCTGCAATGTGTTTATCAACACGGCAATTGTCAAATCTAGGACTGGACACAGTGGAGAGGTAGTAACTGTCTGCTTTAAATCCTAATTTATGTACACGCCCCCTTGTTAGAGCTGATAAATTCATGACATAGAACTGCTTAGTTCTGTTTGGTAATTGCATAAAGATGTCAGTCATGGCTTGTTTTCAAGTCATGTGAAAGTGTAGTAGAAAATTGTTGCATTAAACCTGACCTCCCTTCTAACCTTACGTTTGAGTTTTCTGGGTAATGTTGAACTACACTGGTGGAGAAAATTAGAAGAAATGTTTAGTCAGCTATTGTTATTGCAGTTCCTTTTCTAATGCCATTAATCTTCTGTTCAGCAGCAATGTTCTTTTTAGCTTTGTCTGCTACTGAAACAAATAATCTTATGGGGCGTTTTTCCTTTTCTGAAATATCACTTCAACTGTAGGTTCATCTTCATCCCAAGAGACAGAGTCATAAATTCAATCCGTTGTCACTTCCCAAGGATCTGCCAGACTGGGACTGGCGGCACGGCTGCATCCCCTCCCAGAAGATGGAGTTGTTTGCAGTTCTGTGCATCGAAACCAGCCACTACGTAGCTTTTGTGAAATACGGGAGGGATGACTCTGCCTGGCTCTTCTTCGACAGCATGGCAGATCGGGATGGTAGATCTTTTATTTACTCTGTTCACCTTCTCTTAGTTTTTTTTAAGTGTGTTTTAGATTTCAGTGACTATTTCTTAAAGCTGTGGGGATATTAATATCGTTTAACTTGATGTACTCAATGCTGGGCTACTGATCTTGATCCAGCCTTTCCTCAGTACATTGATTTCATGGCAGCTGCTCATTTGCATAATCTGGATTTCACCTAAATTGGATACCTGAGTGAGTAGATGGTACAAAAGCAACTGTAGAAATTTGCTAGCAGGACTCCTTATATGTTTTTTCTATGCTTTGCAAATTTGGCAGAAAGAATTAATTTTAAATAATCAACTGCAGGAATGTATTTTCAGTCTATATTTAAATGGATGTACGCGATCATCAGATAGTATGAAAATATTTTTATTGCTTTTTCTTAAATAACTTACTGAAGATGTCTTTAGAATAAAAGAAATAGTCACACATTACAACATCTACACCATTCCTTTGAATCTCTTTAGAGTTATCAGTGGAAAATTGTTACCATGTAATAATACAAATGTCAGTAAAACAAGTGGTCTCTTAGATACTGTGATTTAAACAGATACTGTTTAAATAAGGACTCTGTTCAATCCTGGTGCCTGAGAAAAACAGTAACAGATGAAGTGTCAGACTCATAGTAACAATTTTTGCATGAAGAATTCTTGAACCCTTGAGTTAGTGTGGTTTGGCCTCCTGTTGAAAATGAAACTGTTACAGGATTAAAGTCACTTTCTTATACCAACTAGAAGACAATCAAGCTTTGTTTCACAGTGTTTGAAATGTGTATGACTGAAGTCTTTATTTTTTGGAATTTAGATCACATGAGGTGCTGAATACATATCGTGCTGATCTTAGGGAGAGGTTTTTTGTATCACAGATATTTTGCTTCAGCTTTTCTTCATAAGTTAAAAATGTCTGCTGGGAACTGCGAGATGGATGTCCATACTTGTGTTGTCTGAATTTGCTCACTTTTATGTGGAAGATGGCCAGGAGTAAACTCTGCCTTAGTGTTGCAAGTCACCAGTGTTACCAGTTGTGTTATTAACAAGTTCAGTAGATTAGAGATGGATTATGTATTCAGGTCACTCTCCCATAAAGAATTTTTAGTGTTAAGGAAAACTGAAAGTTCTCCTTGGGTTTTTGTGGTGCTTGTGTGAGTGTGGTTTGTTAGTAAACACTACAAGATATTCTGACGTTAATTGTGATTTCTTGAACAATGCACCTTTTAGAGAAGTTTACCCTGCAGGTATTACCTAAATATGTCCAGAGGGGCATATTTAGGCTTTTTAGAAGACATTTTCAAGATGAACTGGTGATGCTGTCATAATTAAAGTACATGATAAAGAGCAGATATATGCAGATGCTATCTTAATCTGTTTCTCCTTCTTTCCTTATGGTTTAAAAGGAGGTCAGAATGGCTTCAACATTCCACAAGTTACCCCATGTCCAGAAGTTGGCGAATACCTGAAGATGTCTCTAGAAGAATTGCACTCACTGGATTCCAGAAAAATCCAAGGATGTGCTCGAAGACTGCTCTGTGATGCTTACATGTGCATGTATCAAAGTCCAACGATGAGTTTATACAAATGAACAGGGATCTCTGCGGAACTGAAGAAACAGTCGGGGGTCACTGTTGTGTTTGCTGCGTTCTGGGTTAGTTTCAATGCAACCGTTGCTGGCAATGGAAGAAGTTGACTATGACAGCAAAAGGATTTACTGTCCCAAAAACTACACATGGAGTTCTGCAACTGAAGTATCTTAAGCATTTTGCACTCTGGGAAGTGTGCTTGTGTGTGTTTGTTTTATAAACAAAGTTAAGTTACTGAAACTTAAAGCTTTAAGTGCATTGATTATACACAAGCTTTTTTGAAATGTTAAAGGTGGAATTATATCAGGAGAAATCTCCTTAGTCCATTGGGAATGTAAGGAAACACAGTGTGCATGCTCAGTGCATGTCTGTGGACAGGGATGATGATTCTCATGTGTTTCTCTACCCCTACTCTGTTTCCCCACCCTTGATCTTTTTACTGTCACAGATTCTTCTCTCAAAGAGAGAATAACTTCGATTTTAGATAAATTTTAGACTGTTCATTACAAAATAATTTTGTTCTGTTATCTGCTACATTCTTTTCAGTTCCAAAAAATTAACATTCATTTAAAAATCTATATTCCTGTCTTGTGAAAATCAAGCACACAGACTTGCTGTGTCGTTAACTTGCAGTTTTTGGAGGGGAAAAACAGGAGGAGAGAGAGGGTATTAAGGGGAAGCATAATTGCTGAAATATAAAATTAGCAATGAAAGTTAACAGATGTCTTTTTCTAAGTGTCTATTTTTAAAGAAACAAAGCAGTCTGGAACAGAACAGCAACTACACACAAATGATTCCAGGACAAAACAATAAAACAGTGGATTGCCTCAGGGAATGTTACTGAAGTGGATTCTAGTCCTTGGTAAACAGAACTGACTTTTCTACAGTACATTAAGCTACTGCCTGGGAATGTGTTATACATCTGACTCTTCATTTCAGGATTACTAATATTAAAAAGAGAATATTAAAAGTCTCTGCCTGGAAAGAGGAAACTATAAATAAAGGTAAATCAGAATTTTACTGTATACCAAGTACCTGATGAAAACTAACTTGAAAAGCTGCAAAACCTATGTTAATGTAAAATACTGTACTTCAAAGTCTGTCGGTTCCTGTTTGCAATGAAATAATGTTGTTTTAGTTGCCTTTTAGCTACTTCTGTCTACACTGACTAGCAAACATGCAACTATACATATACAGTACCATCTGGTTGTACAAATTGCATATATATGAACTTTACATTTTCAACTCTTGAGATGTTTTATATGGAAGTTTCCTTTTGGGGATCAAGTCTATAGAAGGAGAGATAACAAAATATAACAGAGGAAAAGCCACTTTGAAAAAGCCACTGTTTTAAAGGCAGTGGAGACTGATCCCTTGTAGAAAATGTGGTTACTTTGTTTTTCTTGGAAAATCTGTACTCTTTCTTTGGGACACACTACCACAGAATAGTACTAGAGAGAGATTTGAAAACTGCTTGAAGGACTAATCAGTGTAAAGCAAGGGCTGCTGAGGGGTTGATCTGTTCCACTAGCTATTGCATGAAGTGTGCTCTAATTTTTTACTTTCAAGAGCAACAAAGTTATTAGAAGTGTCACTGTTGCTTTTGCCTCTATGAGTCTCCTGGCTTTCCCGTTCCCTTGCCTTGTTTATCTAGTCTGTGCTCCTTGGCAAAACTCTCTTGTTTCGGTACTGCTCTGAGCTCTTGACCTCTTTCTCTCCTGGAAAAATTCAGTGAAGCTTTAGATGATGGATTCTCTAACCATCTGTCAATGGATTGATTATTGTCCATGGGCACTTCCTCAGGTCCATCCCATCCTGCTCTGGGACAGCAGCTGGGATGTGCTGACAAAGATGCCCTGGAAGCATCTTGTAGGTAAAGAGAGCAGGCCTTGGCCTGGCAACTTGTGCTCATTGACATGAACTAGAGACCACTTGAGTCATCCAAGCAGAAGGTGTGGTGGCCTGCCCTTGGCTGTGCAATGAAGAGGAAGATTGGCCACAGTCTCCAGGTCCCTCCAGTGATGTTTTTAGAGCTGTTTGCAAATCAAAGGCTGAGGGGACTTGTTAAAAAAAGGCAATAGTAATACAATGGACTCAACTCGCTCTCTACAAGGTTTGAGCCCCTGTTTGAACCCTTCCCTTCCCCAGCCCAACCATGTCACTCAATCTGAAAGGAGGTGCAAGTGTCCCCTCTGAACAAGGAGCAAAGGCAGAAGCACAAACCTGTGTACCAATGAGACCAGTTTGAATGTCTGCATTGTTCTCTTCCCAAGCCCTGTATTTATTTTCATCTTTTCCCAGTGCATTCATTTTATGTATCTTCCACTGGTGTCATCTTTCCCACACCCCCAGCCCCATTACATATAGTTACCTCTTCCTGCTAGAACTTTGAGAACAGCCTTGGACCTGCTATGGCCAGAGGACAGAAATGGAATTGGCAACCCTGTTCAAGTTTTCTTGATGAATAATCTTGTAGCAAAATACCCACTCTTTTTTACAACTGCAAATATCCAAGAATCCCAGTTTTGCAGGATACATACTCTGTTTAATCAGAAGTGAATGAACTGTTTGGCTTCTTGCCTCTAGTATTCTGGTCTTTCACTGGCAAGGGAAGAGAAGTTGTGTGAACTCTTCCTGTGGGACATATAGGGCACATTCATTACTGAGCACTTGGTGACAAATGCTGTGTTTGGAAAGGCAAGCAGTGCTTTGCAGCCTGCATTTTGTAGGCTATTGTAGATTATTGCAAAATGGTAAATAGTTAACAGTATATGGTTTAGTTTATTGCTCACCAGTTAAGAGGGCGAAGATATCTTTTATAATACTTAAAAAAGTGTTGACAGTCTTCTTTTAATCTAAAAAGTGTGATGTACTGCACTGGATTGAAGGTGGTCTGGCAATGTAAATTAAATGTTACAGAAACTAACTAACTCCAATTTTATTTCCTTTCTCAGGAACAAGTATTCAGACAGAAAAGTGATTTCACTGTGAAAGGAAACTTGTAAAATAACTCACATACTTATATGCAAGGGGAAGAAAGCTTTTTAGCCCTCAGCATGTATTTGTAGGGAATTGAATAAGCTATTTTGAAGCCTGCTTTTTAAGTATCTGCTGCGGTAAATGTAATGGCCAAAGATTCCAGTGACTAAGCACCAATATTTATGTTGTTTAATGCATTTGGAAACCTCTCAATCAGTTCTTTTTTCTCTTTTTTTTTTTNGTTCAAGACAGAACAAATCACTGTGCCACTAAATGCTTGCTTATTTTGAACATAGAGGGTAAGGAGAAAAGGTCTTAGTTAAAGGTGATGCCTTACACATTACTAAAACAAGCAAACAAAAACCATCAAACCCCCACCTCTCCAAACCCACTGTAAGTTACATCAGAATGCTTGTCTTTGGTTGGGGGAGATAACTGGAGGGAAAAAAATGCAAAGATATCTATGTTAAGTAAAGGTCTTTCTAATAGCTGTGATACCAATTCTGTGCTCTTGAGAATTGTAGCACTGTGTTGTACTAAACAGCCTGTGAGATTCCCTTTTTCAGCAAGTACTATATGTAACAAGAATTCCTCTTGGTCATAAATGGTTCATTTCAATGCACTTATTTTTCTCGTGCACTTTATACTCCACTGACTGGCTGAACGTGCTCACCACGCTCCCTGAGGATGGCCTGTTCCATGCAACACAAAGGCACACCGTGCTGCACTCTGGAGCGGTGTGTTTTCTGAACTGAACTGGTGTAAAAAGCAGCTTGAAAGCTTTGTGTATTTTTACCACTGTAACAAAGCATGTTTTTATCTGTTCTTGATGTTTTGCTAAATAAACATCCCATGTTTTGTGCACAGATAGTCTCTTAAACTTATGAAGGCTGTGTCCAAGAAGGCATTAGGGAAACAAATCATTGGATCAGGTTGCCCTCAACTAGCCTTAATTTTTTTTTTTTTTTCCAATGGTAGAGCTGAATGAGTTGCTGCTGGAAAGGAATGTACCATGTGCTCTTTCTGTATTAATATTAATTAAAAATATTGTTCTTATGGCTCTATTAATTTCTTTGGGGATTGGAGTTCTGGGAGTTGCATGAAAAAAAATGAATGCAGTGGTGAACTAACTTGTTTTGCATACTTTGAGAAGGATTTATGTTTAAACATTTCTGTTAGTCCCTCTTCAGCATTTCTAGGAAACTTGGGAATTGTACTGTATCCAGTCAGGTCTAACAGTATGACTTCTATCTGAACAGTTAGTACCTGATACTGGAAGGGAAAACCACCGAAAAGCAGCTATAGTTACCTATAGTTTTCCGTGGGGAAAAATTACTTCATTTTTTAATTGCTTAGTAGACCACTTTGCTAACCATAGTGAGCAGCCTAATCCTCCTCGGACAATGCTGTAGCTTCATCAGTGCTGAATCCAGAGCTCCTGGTTTACATACATTTTCTATATAGAAAAAAATACCACTATCCAGTATTTCTAGGTTTAACTTTTTTTAATTATTATTTTATTTTTTATTTTCCTGAGTTTAATAATAAGAATGAAAAAAAAGTCCTGCCAGGGCCGGTAAAGGGAATTCTGCCTTCTTTGCCTTTGCAGAAGCTAAAGCTGAGCCTTCCCGTGACAGGTCCCCGTTCCCGGCGCTCGCATCCCGGTTCCCCCGTTCCGCCGCACGAGGGCAGTGCCCGCACCGCCTGCGGCCCCCGCGGGATCGACCCGCGCGTGTCTCCAGCTTTGTCATCCCGGCTTTGCAGCGCTGTCCTTAAAGCGGGCCTGACGCAATTAGGGGCAGGTAAGGCTTTCACAGGTGTGTACGCTTCGCGCCTGCCCAAGCAATTATTCCGTGTGTATTTCCTGTCTCTGGTTATGCTTGGCTCTCTGTGGCCCCATTTGATTGCTGAGGCTGGGGTGGGGTGGGGGCTGTGGGACTGAACCCCCTGCCCCCCGCCCCATAATGACAGCCTGTACCTGCAGGCAGGAGCTGCCACCTGCACTGACAGCAAGGCAGCCCTGGCTTCACCACATGCCCAGCAAACTACCTCCCTTTAGCTTTCTAATGTTTTAGGAGTCTCCTCTTTCCATCTGCTTCATTTTTCAGCTGATTCCCTGTTCCATGAAGCAGAGACATCTGGGAATATAAGGATTATTATACATATGTTACATAGCAATTTCTTTTTAAACAGTATATAAATTGGCTGGATTTACCTTCACTTTCTGATGAGACCAGTTTGTCTATGCTAGTGCTCATGTGTGAAGATGTTATTCACTAGGTAGCATCTCACATTCCACACTGCGTGTTGGGTTTTTTTTTTGAACCATGCAAATTTCCCACTTATCAAAGTAATTTGCAAAGGTAATTTTGTTTCCACTCATCTATTACAATAAATCAGTGAATAAATAAATTATAATGCAGCAATTAAATGTATAACGAGATGGGCAACAACTATTAATAAATACAGAGCTAGTTGCCCAAAGGTGAACAGACTTCCCCTCTCTTCTTACAAGTCAGGTGATGATCTAACTATGATTGAGAAACAAGCAGCTGCTAAACATGTAAATGAAACCAAGGGATATATGAGTTCACACTATAATACTGTTCCTCAGACTCATTATTATTGTTACATTATCGGTTCTTCTGTGACTTTTCCTCTGAATATTTAAAGACAGGGAGGGATATGCAATTATTTTTAAATATCCTTCTGCCAAATGACTGACTGAACAAACCCAACCATGTTGCTGAGGAGTTGGCTCTCTTTGGTAACCTAACTGGTAGAGCATAGCTGAGTTTTAACCAGCAGAGCTATTACAAAACCAGTGATGATCTGCAGGATAACTCAAAAATTCTGAAATTTCATGGGGGATAGAAGTCTCTTTAAAAAGAAATCAGCATTATTACATATCTAATCTGAACAAAATTATATAAGAAGGCTATAAACTAGTGCATCTTCTAATTTTAAAAATGGCTGTGAATTGTAATATCACTGGTGCTCTCAGTAGTTGATATTGCAATAAGGAAGAGGCAGAACGATCTTAACACCTTTTTGCTCCTTCTTCCTCATGTGGGAATGCTTCATATTTTTTCAATGTCCATCTACCCTCAATATTTTTTTCCTATTCAAAATTAATTGTCAGAGAGTTGCCATGTCATTGTAACCCCTTATTTCTTTCTTCAATAGCCACAACAGTGGATCCCTTGTAATTTTACTCCGACTCTTTCCCAAAAGTATGCTCATGCTCTCCATCTCTCTGTGTCACCTCTCCATGTGTGTGTTTACCCCCATGAATGCTTTACCACCTGAGATCACATTATTCAAAAAGTTTGTTTTTAAAGGAATAATTGATACATTTAGTTTTGCCCCAGTCTGAGCTG